CCTTAAAAACCTCTTGGGTTGTAACCGTGCATAGTACTGTATAAGTTGTAACCTTATTATTAAATAGGCTGTGAAAGATGATGGAAAGATTCAACAACTTACTACCTCGATTCGCAACTTTGATGAAGCACTGTGATCAAACAAAGACTGCAAGCCGACGACATAAAACGGAAGAAGGATGACGGTCACACTTTTGCGAATTGTTTAAAACACGGAAAAGTTCTTGAAGTTCACCACAGAAACGAAACTAGCGAAGGGTGGTTCATATTAAAATTATTTGATCACGGTTCGTTTGGGGTCAAACCACTCTTGACCTTGATCAAGATCAAGACCTAGAATCTAGATTCTAGTATTTTATTTTACCATATTTCACACATATAACAAGCAGAGTATGGAGTCTTAAAATCTGCAACCAAATTTGAGAAAAAAAGTGTTGTTTCCATGGATACGTCGCCCATATTGGATTTTGTTGAAATGTCTTACGTAATGAATTCCGCGCTTAGTTATCGTTCGAGGAAAATGATAGCTTTTTTGCATGTATGTTAACAAACTAAATACTCTCTGAACAAACATAAGATCTAAAAAAAATTCTGTTAATTTTTTCCTAAACGTAGAGTCTAGTATTAGAACATTTTTAATGAATTTTTTCCCGAGGTAGTATTCAAGTTTGCAAAAAATCCGTGAAAATTATCCACACTCCAGACATCACAAACAAAAATCTATTCCATCAAAAATTCAACTGACGATTTTTAAAAATATATCCTCTTCATTCTGTGAAAATGTCATGATGGGATAAAAAATTGTTGAGTTATTTTGTAAAAAGTAGATCTAGATCTATAGAGAAAAATCGCTTTTTGAGAAACGGCCAATAAAGAAAAATAAAATATTGGCTTTATGAGGAAATTAAAAGGTGTTGACAACGGTATGGGAAGAAATTTAGGATTTGGGGGGTTCTTATGCGATGAAATAATTGTAGGAGAGGCTGAGGAAACTATATACAGGTACAACTCAAATTCCATACAATTTTGTGTCCAAAGCATCCTTAATGTGTTCTATAGCGTTCGTATTCGGTGAATTTGAAGGCCATGGGAGTGTCTGGACATTGTTTCTAGCCAGAAAGTCTCTAGTTATCTACTCTGGCAGTATACGGTATGGCATTGTCCTCTGGAAGATTGCCCCTGGTTGTTGAAGCACTAGAAGGGCATGTGGTAGGAGAACGTTGTTGATGTAGGCCTGGGCTGCCAGATTACCTTGTACTCTCACCAGGTTGCTCCTGCGAGTGTGGTTGATTGCTCCCCACACTATCACACTGCTACCACCATGCGATAAGGCCTGGGAGGTGCATCTAGTTGCGAACCTTTCATTTCGATGTCGGTAAACTCGACGTCGTCTGTCGTGTCGAGAGATGAGAAAATTGGATTCATCACTGAATCATACGTGCCGCCAGTTCTGTAGCTTCCAGTTGACGTACTGAGGGGCCCACTGTCGTCCCTGTTGGCGATGGTGGTCCGTCAACAATGTCCTTAAAGGTCGATATGCGCGAAGCCCTCTTTCTCGGATCTCAGTCGGTTGCGTACTGTCTGGTCGGAAATTCTGATGACTTTCCGAAGCGCTTGGACCGTTGAAAAGGCAGGCACAAAACGATCCAGCAGGTTATGAAGCTGAATAAAGCGATCCTGGGCTCGAGTTGTTGCGCTTGGCCGTCCACTTCTCGGTTAATCGGCAGTGGAGTTGGACTGGTGAAACCTTGCAAAAAGTCTGCTGATGGTAGACTGTGACAGTTTGAAATGTGTGACAACATCAATTAGACTTTCTCCGGCTTGCAAGCGTCCAATAGCCTGCTTTCGCTCTTCTATCGTTAGTCGTGGCATGGCATATCGCTGAACTGACAAACCATTTTTTCGGCCATTATAGAGCCGCCCAGTAAATGAACTCACACGCCAAATTTCGTTCGACTACTCACAAAATTAGACAAGTTGTGAGCTTTTTATCACTCAATTATCACACAATTCAACAGTTTAGGCTGTGCCTACCTATGACTGTGAGTAAACAATGAATTTTGTTGTGAAAACACAAGCACTTGGTTAAGCTTTTCTTTTTTTGAAGAGTATAGATAACAATTTTCTCCTCTCTTGGTAATCAACACTAGATCTCCTGCTTATGAAAGCGAAGCTCTTAACCGCTACACCACAGACGCTGGTTCTCTTCCTCTGTATCCATCTGTTCTTTGGTTGTATGCTCTTTCATTGGATGCCTCACTTTTTGCCGATGTAAAGAATGTATACTTTTGCGGCTAAAGGTGATGAAGTATTGAAGAGATATCAATCAGGGAATGGCAATTTGTACGAGCTATTCATGATTTTCAGTTTTCAGTGTTCGTTTTTTCCGTGCCCAACTACAATCATTTTTTTCGGGGTGAAATGTGATTAAAAAAAAATAAAATGGATTTATTGTTGCTTGTTTTACTGTTCGTTAGATGCGCCTAGTCGTGCTGATCAAGAAAATATATACTTTTGTACACTTTTGACTTAAAACATTAATGTTATGTCACTTTTAAGTCAAAATCAGTTGCGCGTTTCGTCAATGGCGGCCATATTGGCGGCCATATTTGGTCACATGACTTTGCACATTACGTAATACATTGTTTATCATGTAGGCAATTGCACAACCTTTCTGGAAATGTATGATTATCATATGTTTTACAGGCAACTTTTTATTGGAACTAAGGAAAACTGTTGCTAAGTTGTCTTTCTCATGCCTCATTTCGCACATTTTGGTGCCATCCTCTTGTCTATATATAAGATAAGATAGATAAGATAAGATACATCTTTATTGTCCAGATCCTGGCACATTGGTTTGGTGTTCCACCACGAGTACAC